AAACCATTGCTACATAGCACATTGTCAATGCTAATTTCATCCCATAGGCACTTTTTTGAATGAATTTAATAACGGTTTAGCGACGGAAATTTTTGTCTAGTAAGGATTGATATTTCCTATGCTAAATTGTTTGATTGGTTTTTGACTTGAAAACCATTTAGGGGATGTTTGGTTCATGGAACATTTTCCTTAAAGTGAAGGAAAATGGTGTTTTCTAGTGTTTGGTTCATGGAATTCATTTTTCATTGGAAAATGAATTCTTCAAATTTGAGGAAAACAAAATCCTTGGATGGACCAAGGATTTTGTTTTTCATGGAAGATGGGAAGAAAAAGTGAATAGATTGCCTATTTTACCCTTGCTTTCTTTTTTAATTATATTACTTTTATTAATTTGTAGGGGCATATATGTCTTTATACCCATTATTCCTTACAATTCCAAATCTAACCAAACACGAATTAGTATTCCTAGTAATTCTTTTTCCACCAACCAAACAATGAAATTCATCTTACTAGTAATTGTTTTTCCATGGAATTCCAATTCCACTTCCCTTAAAATATTTCCCACATTCCCTTAGTGACAGAATGACGGATTTCGAATTTTGTCTCAAGTATCTATAGAATCCAAAATCTGCAACTAGTTTTTTTTTTTTTTTTTTTAAATTTGTTGTAACTCATTAGCTCAAACAATGATCAATGTAATTGAAGAAGGAGAAGGTAAGAAGCAAGGTAAAGAAGATCATCTTATTCATTCATCTGTGTAATCATACAACCATAACACCTTTATATATAGTGTACAAACATAACGGAAGATATAATGGAGACATAAATACATGAACCGTTACAACTGTTATATAATCTATAATAATGTCCACATAATGATTATATTTATAACACTCCCCCTTGGACATTATTTGTCCATGACCTTGCCTCATTAAAAACTTCACTAGAAAAACCACGTGGGAAAAACCTAGTTGAAGAAAAGAGTACATAATATATGTAAAACATATATTGTATTGGTCGCCTCATTAAAAACCTTAACTTAAGAAAACCCTGTGGGAAAAACTTAGTTAAGGAAAAAAGAGTACACCATAAGCCTTCAGGGCATAATCTGCATAATCTTCAGGATTTTTGAGTTTGTTCATTTATTAACCAATTATTTTGCAATTTTTATCCATTGTCATTACTATATCATACTCATGCCTCGTTAAAAACCACACTAGAAAACCCATTGGGAAAAACCTAGTGAGAAAAGAGTACATGGTATGTATATGCTGCAAAAAGTATAACTATTAGTCCTTTTAAGACCCAATAATCTACAGGATTGACTCGAGTGAATGTACTTCTCGTCTCCCCCTGAAGATAACAATGTTCAAGTTCTAAATAGCTTAAATATAATGATTTTTCTTTACCTACACATATCAATCTTATGGATATTTTGTAGGTATACATTTGCTAACTTGTCACTGGAGCAAACATTCTGAACAAATATTTTATCATTCTTCTGGAGTTCATGTGGATCAATGTATTTTATATCATGAAAAACTATATACGTCTTTATCTGTAACAAGTATGATGACTTCATGCCAAAAAGCATTAATACGAGTATTTGTACCTTGATTTGCTATTCGTTATCTCATCTCATAACTTAACATCATCAAACTCTTTATATATTTCATTGATGTTTACACCATAAATATTGACTGAGATAATAAATAAGTCCATTATCAACTCTTTATTGAGCACATAATGGTACATATTATTCCTTCTATATGAGGATAATAACCTCATTCGCAACTCTTTAAAAAGTAAATAATGGCACATAATAATACTTAAGTAAATCCTCATTTCAGGAATTATAAATCCATTAGGGATTTTTCAAGATAAACTAGAGGATATATTTAGGATATTTTCAAGAGGAAACGATATTTGAGTTTCCCAATCACATATAACATTACTAGGCATGTTTATGATAATATATTTTCATACTTTAATTTGTTATGGGGGAGAAAATACCACTAGTCAATTTATTGACTATAAGAAAGATCATAGTTAGTAACTTACTAACTTTTATACTTCTTATTTTGTGATATTCATTCATCACATTTTGAGAAAATCCATCAAGGATTTTAAATATAAGTAACAAGTTACCCATATAAATATGTGATAACCATAACTATTAGCTACATATCTAATTTATTTACTGCTAGTTTTATTGAATAGCGGAATATAAAGTCATGACTAATATTGGGTTTCTGCGAAAACCCTCCACTCGCCTTTTATTAGCGAGTTTTGATGTGTATGCCTTAATTGCTTTTTTCTATCAAAACAGTTAGCACGCTGGAGACGTTATGCTACTGTTTTCATTTCTGGATCCAGATTTAAGCATTTAAATAGAGGCAAAATATGTTGTCGACAACTGTAACAGCTTTGTAAATATCTTTTAAACACATGGCAATTTTGTATCAACCAAATATATGGCATTTCCCAAGAGTATTTGAATTTGGTTGTTCCGCTTCCCCAGTATTTTAGTTGTTTGGTGCACCTACAATTTTACTGGTCTTTTCGCCTTCTAGACGAATATCTTCAGAATAAAATTTCTATATTTCTGGAGTGATGAAATTTCTATACTAGATCTAGTTTTGTAAATTCTTAAACCAATATATGCTTCTGTCATAATGGTAGAGATGTTTAGTCCTAGTTGGGGATTTCAACTCTTAATGAAATATTTTCTATGGACTTAGTCACTCCTTGAGATTTCTAGCAGATAATTTGTTCAATGTCTGAACTTCTGGTTCTATAAGGCTAGTACATAAGATTTTTATCAATTTCTCGGCATTTAAGTAATTAGAAAATTTCAAATCTCCCCCTAATGCCGAGAAAAGATCTTATAATGCAACCAACATCACCATTGATTTCTCATGATGGGATATAGCTAGAAGGGTTGCATACTAAAAAAAAAAAAAAAAAAAAATTGAACGCAGATAGGGAAATGCATCATGTACTAGTGTATGTGATATGTAGTGGATCAGCATATTGATTTTTCAATTTTGAAGGTCCCCAATAAAATATTTCCTCCAAAATTGCTTAAATTTGCTTTCCGAACAAAGTTGTATTAAAATTTAGAACAAAGTTGAGATCTGCAATAATATGACCAACATAGTTGACAATGAGATCGGCATACACCAAATATCCTTCAGGGATTTACTTAGGGTCTATAGATCCTTTTAGATCAAATATTCATAATTGATGGTTTAGACCAAAAGGTGTCAAAAAAAAATTAGTGATGTAAGTGTTTACCTCTGGGCAAAATTTTATTGAAAATATGCACTATTATTTTATTTTGATACTCCAATTTGAGATATTCAAGATTCAAGACTCATGTCATATAATTTTATGATAAAACTAGCACCATCAATATGCACGGATTTCGACAAATAAATTATTGACTTCCAACTCATAATTAAGTCAATTTGATCATATAAATTGTCCTAGTGCTATTATCATATGACTAGTACTATGAATTCGCCTTCTGGGCATGTTATGTCTAAAAATTCAAGCTATAATAAAATGTGAGATTAATCTCAACATATACATGGCCTATAGCAAATAGCTTTTATATCAAAAGAAAACTCAGAAATTTCCCAAAACCACACTTCAAAAGAGAGTAATACTACGTAATTACCTCATATGAGTTGAGCCAGAGTCCAAGAGTTACTACCTCTCCCATTAATGTACCACCATTGTTCTAAGCAAAATGTATTATTGCAGATTATAAAAGTAGACAAAAATAGTTGCACCCAATAGCAGTAGCATGGGCAAAACAGTAGAAAATATATCTCCAGGATTAAAGATTACAAGGAGTAGTCACATTCTTGATAACGTGAGCAAAGTGCTTGATAACGTGTTGTAACCCATTAGCTCAAACAATGATCAATGTAATTGAAGGAGAAGGTAAGAAGCAAGGCAAAGAGGATCATCTTATTCATTCATCTGTGTATAATCATACAACCATAACACCTACAAACATAACGGAAAATATAATGGAAACATAAATACATGAACCGTTACAACTGTTATATAATCTATAATAATGTCCACATAATGATTATATTTATAACATAATTAACATTTTCTAATATTTTTTTAAACTAGAATTGTCTACCATTCTGAAATCCATCACTAATCCATTGGTAAAAAAATGTGTCCCAACTTTTGGCACTATCTTTACAGTCATCGCTATTTTGTCATTAGTTTAACTACGGATTAAATCAGTTATTAAATTTAATGATATTTCTGTGTTTTTTTGGTATATAGTATCTGTTCATATATATTTCTACAATTAGATTATGTTACAATATAGTATATATCTATATATATTTTTACACTCCTTTTTAGAAGAGCCACGATTATATTATTTAACCAGAAAGTCTTTGGCAAAATTCTTTTTTTAATCTAAATCAATCAAAATTTAGCGTCAGCATTAAATGTTCACAGATGTCAAATGGCTAATTACAAGTTCCAAGGAAAGCAGCTCCTCTAAGCAATTTTTTTTTTTTTTTTTTTGAAGAGAACTCATCTAAGCATGACAAGCAACCCTATATCCTGATCAACGAACTAGATTAGTTTTAACTATTGTCCAGTTTATACAAATATTATATTTATTTATTGCTAACCCTGATACTATATATACCCTTGCCTCTTTGTAGTGTTTACTTATGATATATGAAAAACAAGCAAATCTTATTTCAACCAGCATCTGCCCACTGCCGGTCTACTTGAATGGTATGGCTGATATATTTTTAGTGGATTAAATTATGGGAGCAAAATATAAATGTTTAAGTTCTACTATATATACCTTTCATACTCCAATCTTCATGTTCTTTAATTTATTGGCATATTCCTATAAATCCTGCTTATGTTTGGACAAGCAAGTTCACTCATTTTTGGATTATGTTTTTAAATTTTGATTCATTTGTTATTTAATTTGAAGGTTATGGATTATGGCACCGGGAAGAGATAGAATCAGTCAACTTCCGACGGACATACTTGACCACATTTTGGGATTGCTGCCAATTAAAAATGCTGCTAAAACTGCTGTTTTATCATCTATTTGGAGAGGTGCTTGGTCTAGTCTTACACAACTGAACTTTGATGATGACTTCTTTTGTCACATTGATAGGAAATATCACCGTGTTAAAAAATCTAACAAGGAATATGCCCCAAGTTTGTATGTGATCAACAAAGTTCTACTGCAGCACAATGGAACTATTCGAAAATTAATTCTCAACTTTTCTAATGTTGGGAAACTTACATATAGGTATCGGTCTTTTGACTTTGATCAATGGTTACTTTTAGTCACAAAGAAAGGTGTTGAAGAAATGTACATTGGGGTCAATGAAAAGGCATATAAGTTGCCATCCTGCATATTTTCTTGTTTAACCCTCAAGAGATTGCATATGTATGGTGTCATTATTGGACCGGTGGATTTACCTCGCATATTACCAAATGTTGATTCACTTTGTTTTGAGCACGTTGACTTCGGTCCTAAAAATCTCCTACGTCGTGCGGTTGATGTTCCTGTTCTTGAGAATCTGTCGTTTCTCAGCTGTCAAAACATATTTTATTTTAACCTTACTGCTCCAAAGTTGTGTGGTCTAACAATCAAATGTTGCTCCTCTAATGTGCCTGATAAATTTCTCCCAGTTAACTTGGATTTAAAATCTTTTTTGACTCTTGAATTGGAAGGTTCTCTCCAGGTATTTAGCTGGATTTTTTTATTGGATTAATAATAATATTATTATTTTTTTTGAGGAACTGATGCTACTTTCTTTATTTTGATTTCAAAGGAATTTGGTAAAGAGTTCACTAAGTTGGGATTCCAACTAAATGTGGAATACCTTAAGCTGTCATGTTTCTCTCACAAAAGTGATGTTAGAACTTCTGCATTTGTTAATTTGTTGCAATTATGCCCCAAGCTATGCAAACTCGAGATAAATTTATCCCAGGTAATCTTAATTTTATGGATAAATTTCTTATTTGTTCACCGATATTTGTTTTGCATTTGTTTGTAATCTTGATCTGATTTTAATATTTTAAATTGTATGATGGTTTTTTATAGCTTGAGGTGGTGACCATGGGTTGTGTTGATGCATGGTTGGAAGTTTTGGAAAAACTTCATTCTGCAGCTCAAATAAATAAAATGCTTCAAACTTTGAAGGTTACCTCATTTAGTGGGTCAAAAACTCAAATCCTTTTCATCCGGAAGCTACTTGCCAGCTTTTCAACACTGAAGAAGGTTATCATTGTTCATATGCATTACGGCCTCAAGGAGGAGAATAGAATTACGAAGGAGCTTTTGCATTTTCATGGTACCTCTATAAAAGCAGAAATTATTTTTGTTTAATGGGTATGTTTGAAAGTATTTTTTGTTTAATGGGTATGTTTCAAATTATTTTTGTCTAATGGGTATGTCTGGAATGGTTTTTGTTCAATAGGGGTGGGTATGTTTCCACTGAATGTACTAGTACATAGTGCTTTGTGTCTTGACTTCTAAGTGACGCCAAATGAATGGAAGGTGTTTTGTGTAATACCGTCCTAATCTCAAGATTTATTATTGTGATATTATCACATTGAATTGAATATCCGATTTTCTATTTGATCATATTTCTTTGTGTTACTTTTGGCATTTCGATTACTCTTAAGAGATACTTTGGTAAAAAATAATAAAACCCTAATGAATGTCATTTGGTCATTTGTTAACAACCTCACCAAATTCTTCTTCCTTTGGTAAAAATTGCTTGAAAAAAAAATAAAAAAAAATTAAATCGTTACTCCTTAAATGGTGTGTCTCAATGAAGTTGAGACTAGAAAAGACAATTAAAGTCGGTAAAGCTCGATTCAATGGAGGCCAAGCAAAATTTTGTATTAGTTAGTCTAAAAAGAACATTTTGCCGGCATGGAGAACTTGGGGAAGGGATCCGAAATGGGGTGCAAGAAGGACATTCTAGAAGGCTGCAAAAAATAGATATCATGAAATAACGCAAATACCCTCCTTTCAAACGGCCATATAACGAGATTGCTGACGGAGGATTAAAATTGTCCTCGTCACAATAAGAGTGTCCACAAATTGTCTAATTTTTTTAAAGATGACTAAAATTGACCGTGCTACCATAATCTAGGACCAAAAATGACTTTTACTAATTATATAAATAGGCATACTTATTACTTATTAGAAGGACATTTAATTTTGTTTTATTCACATACTTACTTTGTACTGATAACTAAAAATGAACCGAACCTAATTATTTAAAAAAATATTATAAATAACATTTTTTGATACAAAGAAAATGAGAATAATCCACCGAACTATATAAAGGTTTATTGTGTTGACTAGAAAGGGTTGCGCGGATGCCCTTTTTTTTTTTTTTTTTTGAAAAAGTATCAAATAGACCCTTGAGCTTTACTTGAAAACTCAATTAGGCCCTTAAACATTTTAAAGTAGTGATCAAACCTATCAACATTGTATTTTGATGAAACCTAAAATTCAGTTAATGACCTACGATAGTAAGTCACTAGGGTTCTAGCGACACTCCGATTCTATTTTCGACAAGAAAACGATCGACGACTAGCGAACGGTCGCTGATCGCCATTGAAGCGGAGAAGGAATGCGACATTGGTCGCTTTCTCACTAAAAAAGTCAACTTTAGATCGTCTTCTCACTCTAGCAAGGCATAGGCTTATGGAACTTCTCCGCTGGGACAAGATGATGTGACCCAGAAATGATCTGATCAACGGTACAGTTGTGAAGTCCTACAGGAATGGTATGGATAAACTCTACTTATTTGAGTTATATCCTTATCAAATTGTACTATATATTTGTAGACACAGAAAATTTGAACCCGTCAAGTGGACTGATAAAAATGTAATTGGGCCAATGTTGAAATTGTTATGGGATCAAATTAAATTGATTTAATTAGTCCAATTAAATTTGGTTTGGGCTATTAAATTAATTAATTAATTGGTCCAAGCCCATTTCATATTTGAATTTGAATTATAATTATAATTATAATTATAATTTAAATATAATATAATTTTATTATATTTGAATTAGATAATTATAATTTAATTTGAATTTGAATTAGATGCTAGAATAGTGAACCTAGACGTGATTTTGGCAAGGTTCGTTGTATTAGATAATTAATTAATTAAATTAAATTAATATTAGGGAGTTTGTTTAGGGATTTTGGTTAGACTTTCACCTATAAATAGAGCCCTCATTTCACATCCCAAGACACACTTGAAGACTTAAAGAACACTTGAAGAATTGAAGAAAAGCTCTGAAGCTAAAGTGGACTAAAGATCAAGCCAATTAAAGACCGGAGGCCCTTCAACGAAGATTAAGCAACAAAGCCCTTCATTGAAGAACAAGCGGCGTTCCGGAGGCCCTTCAGCCAAATTTTCAAATCAAGTAAACCCAAGTGAAGAATCAGAGGACTTTTTGATAGAGATCTTGTACCTGCGCAACTTGAAATTTGAATATATATATATGTACAACTTTTTCTTGTTCACAGATTTTGGCACGCCCAGTGGGACCTCTCTACCTCTCATCTCTTCACAAGAATCCAAATGGCATCAAGAATTCCCACGTCCAAGATGACTTACGCTCAAGCTACCCGCTCCAGCGCATCGTCCGTGGCCAGTTCTGATGATGGTCGCGAGATGCAAGGTGCATTGACTCGAAGTCGAGCAAGGAACATGGGAGTGCAAGTGGCTGAAACTCAGAGCATGGTGCGCAATATCATCCAGAGGATCGAAAGCAAGTCTACCGCTTCAAGGAAAGCTACACACGATGAGGGTTCATCTTCTACTACGGGGACTGCTTGTGACAAGATTTCTACTCTCTCAAATAAAGCTACTGGAAGTGGAAATCCTTCGCTTACTTCTTCAAGAGGAACTACTAGCAGTGGAGGCTCGTCACCCAAAACACTGGAATACACTCGTGCCTACACAGTCATGCCCGCCATGGCAACCAAAGTAACTTCGGTGGAGGAGCAACTAGCCAACATCACCAAATCTCTCGAGGGTGTGATGTCGCTTCTTCATAACCAAGATAGGAGGATAAATGACCTAGCTGAAAAGGTAGAGAGCATGAGGAACAGCGAAATAAGTCGAGCTTCTGGGAAGCAGCGCCAAACTCAAATGGAAGAGATTGATGTGGAGTTACCACCCCATGGCGATAGGCTCGTTACAGGGATGAAAGAAGCAGCATCCCGCCCACCACTTGCTGAGAAAAGCGTTCCAATTTCCAGGGGCACGATTCCTGTGGAGCAACTAAATGACTACATCATGGGAGCTATCAAAGAGAAGCTCGAGGTGGGACAGCGCTCTTATACATATGCCAAGCTTTACACTCAAAGGATCGAGGAGCTAAGGATGCCGCCTGGGTATCAGCCACCTAAATTCCAGCAGTTTGATGGGAAGGGGAATCCTCGACAACACGTAGCCAATTTCGTGGAAACTTGCAATGAAGCTGGGACATATGGGGACTACCTAGTGAAGCAATTTGTTCGCTCATTGAAAGGAACGGCTTTTGACTGGTACACTGATCTTGAGCCAAGCTGTATCGATAGTTGGCACGACATGGAGCGTGAATTTCTGGATCGTTTCTACAGCACAACAAGAACTGTCAGTTTTTTGGAGCTCACAACTACCCGCCAATGGAAAGGAGAGCCTTCCGTTGAATACATCGAAAGGTGGAGAAATGCGTACTTAAATTGTCAAGAGAGGATATCGCAACGTGCTGCTATTGACATGTGTATTCAAGGAATGCGATTTGAGTTGTCTTACATCCTGCAAGGGATCAAGCCTAAAACGTTCGTGGAACTGTCTAGCCGAGCTCATGACATGGAACTAAATATTGCAGCTGGTGGTGGATTGAGCGCGTTCAACGTGCCAAGCTCTTCCAAGGATAATGCAAAGCAAGATTTTAAGAAAGGGGGCAAACCCTTTCCAAGGCAAGAAAAAGAAACGATGAATGTCAAAGCCGGGGCTATTAAGGTTTTCACTAAGGCATCTGAAACCCCAAAGCCAAGACCATTTTATGGCCCACCGAGTGGAAACAGGATAATGACTATAGAGGAGAGACAAGAAAAGCAATATCCGTTTCTAGAGTCGGATGTCTCCCCTATGTTTGATGAGTTGCTTAAGCTCAAACTGATTGAGCTGCCAGAAATGAAGCGCCCTGAGGAAGCTTCTAAAGTTGAAGACCCAAATTATTGCAAGTACCATCGCTTCATTAGTCATCCTATTGAAAAGTGCTTTGTTTTCAAGGATAGAGTCATGGCGTTAGCACGGAGTGGAAAGATTGAACTGGCCGATGCTACTGTAAGTACAAATCAATATCACTTGGAAGGTTTGCCCCACTTCTTGAGGAGGGCCCTAAGAAAAGGAGAGGAGTAGAACAAAAGCATCCACTCCCATTCGTCGTTAAAACTGCTGCTCAAGCAAAGTCGCAACAAGTTGTTGATACCTCTAGGAGTGGTTGGGTAACTATTACCCGTAAGAAGGTGGTGAGATCACCAAGACAAGTAACAAAGGAATGGGTTGAGAAGGGTCCGTCCAAAGGTCTTATCTACAAGAAAGAGGTGAAGGAGAAGGTAGGCGTGTCTACCTCATGTATGAACACTAATGATACGGTAGTTGAAACGGAAGAATGCTCGTCCCATGTGGAAAATGAAAGCGAGGGAGTCCAAATGTATAAGGCCACCTCTTATTCGGCTGAGATCACATTCAGCGATGAAGATTTGATGCTTGGTGGTACACCTCATAATCGCCCGTTGTTTGTGGAGGGCTATGCATGTGAGAAGAAACTTAAAAGGATTCTAATCGATCAAGGGTCAGCTGTCAATATCTTGTCGCTACGAGCTTTGAAAGACCTTGGTATTTCGATAGATGACCTTACCCAAAGTCGCCTAATGATCCAAGGATTTAATCAAGGGGGGCAAAAAGCATTGGGTATCATTCGACTTGATTTAACAGTCGGGAAATTAAGTTCAAGCACACTGTGCTATGTTATAAATGCAAGGACATCTTATAGCTTGCTACTAGGACGACCATGGATACATGAGAATGGGGTCGTTCCATCTTCATGGCACCAATGCTTTATGTACGAGAAAAATGGAGTAGTGGAAAAAGTGGTAGCCGATGAGAGCCCGTTCACCGAAGCCGAGTCCTATTTCGCTGATGCGAAATTTTATATGAGAAAGCAAATTGTAGTGGAAGAGATTGACAAAAGTGGAGACAATGCACCTCTTGAGCCAAAGTGGAAAGGGAAACAAGTTGTTGAGGAACATCAACCAAGCAAGGAACTTGTCTTTCCTCTTACAAGGATTGACACGCTTAAGG